GATAAATGTAATGCTGTAGCACCATCGATATTGAAATTTATAACGTGTAAACTTAACATTATTTTTATCGAGTGATTTCATTACAGGTAAAGACATATGGTGCAAGGAAGAGCTCAGGCACAATGGTGGGAAAAGTAAGCAATTTAACCCTTTCGTTTATTTATAGAAATTTTTTTCAGTTGTGTGAAGTGACATTAATTTTGAAATGCACAGAATATCAATAAAATCTTCAACTTTTTCTTGTTCATTTGCGAAGATATTTGTCGAATAGTTGGTATAAATTACGTTTTGAAATGTACTGTTCAATTCTTCTCTTCTATATTAGAAGAAATCTTTTTTCTTTCTGATACAACTAATTGTTTAAGCATATCATGATATGGAAGCAAATGCGGTGCATAAGAAGGGATCAATTTATCTGGGATTCCGGAACGGTTACATATTTTCCTACCGAGTGATCAATGAGAAGGAAAAATTCTCGGAAATATTATTTTCACTCGATCTCGCACATCGTACTCCCCAAACAGGTAAGTCATGTTTCATTTTTTTATTGAATCAAAAGTAGAAAACTACCGATTACCAAACACTTCTACAGAAGTACTCGGTAAGGACGATGAATTGCACTTATTTTCGACCGATGGTAAAGAAGCAATTGTAGTAATTTGCGGTCCCACAACATATTATCGAATATATGACGTTAATCCACGGTTAGTGAACAGAAAGTATTGAGAAAGAGAAATCTTAGTGTTATCAAGTGACGTGGATTTGTCTGAAAATGTCTGTATTTTTATTCGATGATGCGTGTGATACCACCGGAACTTATCATTGCCTTACTTAATTTTAGACAAGTTTTGCTATCAGATATTCCATATCCTCTTCTAATCCAAGTGATGATATTCCTGAGGAAAAGTGGAGGGGGAAGAATGAAGCTGGGATGCTATGAAATGAAAAACTTTTACAATTTTATTTCGGAATATTTAGCTCCGAGTGTCATAATGACATAAGTGGAATTGAATAAATGCAAATCATCTTTAGGGATGGCATTAAAGTTATTTATTTGAAGAAGAGTAATATGACTGTCATCCAGACATTAACGAAAAAATGTCGAAAAGCTGATTATAATGCGAAGGACGCTAAATTGGTTTTTTTCATGGACTCCTCTACGGCATATGAACTGCCGCTCACTTTTAATCATGACGGAGTTTTAAAAAGCTATCCAGATCCAAAGCTGGTTAATACTTCTTTCATTAATTATTTAGTTCGACATGTTCCTCAAATTTTCATTCTAATTTCACGTTTCAGGAAACTTTTCTTTCTTTCCTCATCCAAAAACTTGCCAGTTTTTTTTTTTCAAGTGAGATTTAATAATTGAGGGATAAGATTACCTAAGAGCAACAGTCATTTAATTATTTCGTTATCCTAATCACAAGACTTTTTTGGACAAAAAGATCTAAAACGTTCTTCCATAGTCAGTTTGTAAGTCCATGGACAAATTTCTATTCT